TTTACACCTATGCATTTACGAATACAGAGTTTTAGTGGAAGAAATAAAACGTTAATGAAATGTGACGACGGTAGTAAAATACATATTCACTGACCGGTTACGTAACGACAGTATGCACTTAGGGAAATTAATACCAAGGCTGAAATGATTACTCTTCCCTAAATTGACTAGGTACTTAATATCTCAAAATAATATATTAGTGATAATAATAATTACTATAATATGTCTGATGCAATAAAGTTAGCTCCAATTTTTGTAGCCAACGCCTGAGACCTGGTTACTAAAAAAGCTTCGGCGTCGCGGAACCATTTTTTTGCCCTGTCGTATTTATGTAGTTAAGCACTGTAGAATTTGGTTTTGTAAAGAACCGGATTATTTAGGTAGTTCTAATATTAGTATTCAATCACGCTGTGAAACTTGGGAAAGTGATTGACTCACTTTTTGTTGCAATTGCAACATCTACTCTCTCTTTTCCTGACCAACGGGTATAATCTAGGTTAGAAATAGGTACGAAAACCATATATAAGCAACAACAAGCGAGACGGAGAACAACGAGCCTGGGAGATGGACTCAAGAGGAGAATCTTGCTGCTGCTGCCATTACTTTGTCCAACACTCAGTCGATTAAGAATAAAACCTGTCCTGACTTTGTCTCACCAAATCTCACCCTGCCTACGTTCCTCCAATTTATTTTGCGATGCACAACAACGACGGCGATCAACTTGTCCATCATCTCTTCCCCCCCCTAGCCGACGAAGTGGGGTCATTGTTAGTTCATTACATTGGTACCCACGGCTACATCGCCCTGTCATAGGGTGAAGAACCGCACCCCCTGTCTTCCCCCCCATCCCCACATCGGTGTGACGGACTGTAACCCAGGTACGTAATAAACTTTTTAAATGCATTCTTAAATACTCCACTCTCCCCACCTCCACCATTTGTCGCCCCACGATTGGTCCGCACCCAGACAATTCTCATACGCCCCCCCATTAGAACAACTAAGACGTGCCGGCATATTTACAAATAAAAACTTAGAAAACTGAAAAAAAGAGAAACAGATGTGACAGGTAGTCTCGCGTCAAGGGTCGCTCCCTCATTATATTGCACTTTTGTTAGGACATGCCATGCCCCGACTGTACAGCGGGTTGAATTCATATAGGCCAGAGTAGCCCCCTTTTTTGTTGTTCGCCAGTGAGCCGACCTTTATGCATATACATACCGCCGTAGAGCGATTATGCATATACATACCGCCGTAGAGCGATGATAGGCCAGAGTTGCCCCCCTTTTGTCCGCCATTGAGCCGACCTTTATGCATACATATACCGCCGTAGAGCGATGATAGGCCAGAATAGCCCCCTTTTGTCCGCCAGTGAGCCGACCTTTATGCATATACATACCGCCGTAGAGCGATGATAGGCCAGAGTAGCCCACCTTTGTCTGCCAGGCACTCAGGGCAAGGTATATTATTCAACGGTAAAACGCCGTATCATAATAATTTTGGCAACAGAGGGGACTAACCTCCTCACCAGGGCCCGAATGCCCAACAATATAATTTCGATAGCATAGGAGATATAGGAAATATAAGTGCAGAACCCCCAATCTGCCACCGAAATAATAATAATGATAATAGAAAATTTAAGGGCAGAACCCCCAATCTGCCGATTACCATAGGAAATATAAGTGCAGAACCCCCAATCTGCCAATCACGATAGGAAATATAAGTGCAGAACCCCCAATCTGCCACCGAAATAATAATAATGATAATAGGAAATTTAAGGGCAGAACCCCCAATCTGCCGATTACCATAGGAAATATAAGTGCAGAACCCTCCATTTGGGGCTTATCCATATTTTACGTCATCAAAAATTCTCGATTTTATCACCCACCCACCCAACGTAAACATTAAGGGATTGGGATTTTTAACATGGGAAAAATAGGAAGACCAAAACCACCCACCCACTAAAATGATGACGTAATATATGGACGTTCCCTTGCCAACGTAATCATAATAATGATGCAAGGAAATCTCAGGATGGTAAACTCATGCATATGCTGGAGATGGGGAAGAGAGTCATCGACCCCCTCAACAACACAACTACTAGTCATGCAAAAACACCATATAACCGCTATTTAATAATTCATAATCCAGACCCGATAATACCCCCATTCCAGCGGACCTTCGTATAATTGCCCCATTACCAGGTTTAACTCGAGTTCACGGAACTCTTCGCCTAGTTTGCATTTTTCCAGATCTCAGGCTCCCCCGCCATTGACTCAAGCCAAACCCCACCCAAATCCATTACGTCATCCCACAACCAACGAATTTCCTGCCAAATCTGTATACACTGGGTCATTCTGCTGCCTACCGATGCCAGCAACAAAATTTATCGCTCACATCACCGTTCCATCTTGGTTAATTGACCCCACTCTCAAAGATCACCACTCGAAACCATTTCCTTTTCTCGAACTCTGGCTTATTCCCAAATCTTTAAAACCTTTTTTTCCATCTCGGGCACAAGGCCCACACACGGACGATCAACCTCACTTCAGTTTTTCGGGCCTAACCCATACAAACACTACATTAAAAAAAACTACTTAAAAAGATATATTAGTTGCATATCTAGACATAGTTAAAAAGTGCATTCCTGTCTAACACACGATAGTGTATCATACAGTATGCAGATTTTTTTTCTCTTCCTTCAGGTTTAGCTCATATACAAAATTATCTCTCTCCTAGGTGTCATTTTATACCTATATGTAAGCATATTCCACCAATAAAAATTGTTCGTACACCAGAGGCTTGCCTCAGTTGCACGAGACAATTTTTCTGGTTCCCGTGACCCCTCTTCTAGATATATATAGGATAACGTAAGTTAGGGTATTTGAAAACTCATCGTAGAATTCTTTTTGCATTTTTTAAAAATATACATTACCCATAATTAGACAGACATTAGTCATTTTCAGTCCCTTAACTCAACCCTTCATAGCTACTTCTTATCTCCACGTCATTTCCTTACCCAAATTCAGTCTCCTCAACAATCAATATTTCAGGAACCAATTACTTGGCTCAGAAATTTGCTCGTTATATAGTTATACATTCTTCCTTAGTTATAAATACTAACCCCGAATTTAAAAAATTGACTACCAACCCCATCCGACATCCCCGAAGTCACCCCGAATTTCCAAAAACTTGACAACCAACCCCATAGAACACCCCGAAGTCACCCCGAATTTCAAAAATTTGACTACCAACCCTATCGGACATCCCCGAAATCACCCCGAATTTCCAAAAACTTGACAACCAACCCCATAGAACACCCCGGAGTCACCCCGAATTTCAAAAATTTGACTACCAACACCATCGGACATCCCCGAAGTCACCCCGAATTTCCAAAAACTTGACAACCAACCCCATAGAACACCCCGGAGTCACCCCGAATTTCAAAAATTTGACTACCAACCCCATCGAACGCCCCGGAGCCACCCCGAATTTCAAACACTTGACTACCAACCCCGTGGAACACCCCGGAGTCACCCCGACTTTCAAAAACCTGACTACCAACCCCCCAAAACAACCCGGCGTCACCCCGACAGTTTCATATCAACGCTACAACCCGACAAACCGCTCCAACATCATGTCCCATTCGTATGCAATAGTTTTTACGGCCTCATCGCCGCACGTCCCCATACGCCGCCACGGCGACATACGACGCAACACCCCCATACACACATTGAAACGACACGCAGCCGCGCTGACAGCCCTTAAAAACAATTGACGCAGCCGCCAAATCGATCGGCGTGAACCTCTGGTTTCCTTTCTCCCTGATCCACTCACCCCGGCTCTCAAATCGATTTCAACCTATTTATTTAAGCCAAACCAGCTGTGGACTCTCCATCACCAACCGCGTCAGACGGCGAAATTCTACCGAAATTCCTCGCATCACCAAGCAAAATAATTTTAAAATATTACTAATTTGCTACTCTAAAAAATATCATGAATTTTCCGACCCAGCCAAAAACAATAAAAAAAAATATATAAATATATATATTTGAAAATTAATTTCGAAGATGAAGTTAATAAATTTGGTAATTTCGGTATATTTCCATACTATGTTAAGAATTAAGATTTACAAAATCCTATGTCTAATAATAATTTGGCAAATTATGCTCAAAACTTGTAACATAAGTACTCCTTATTGTCAAACTCTGTTAAAATAACACTATTTTAAAATCGCTAATAATTGTAAACAACAATAATGCAGACCAAGCAAATCTAACATTTTATTTCTGGACCGGGGCCCGGTCTAAGAAAGCCGGATATTGTAAAGAACCGGATTATTTAGGTAGTTCTAATATTAGTATTCAATCACGATGTGAAACTTGGGAAAGTGATTGACTCACTTTTTGTTGCAATTGCAACATCTACTCTCTCTTTTCCTGACCAACGGGTATAATCTAGGTTAGAAATAGGTACGAAAACCATATATAAGCAACAACAAGCGAGACGGAGAACAACGAGCCTGGGAGATGGACTCAAGAGGAGAATCTTGCTGCTGCTGCCATTACTTTGTCCAACACTCAGTCGATTAAGAATAAAACCTGTCCTGACTTTGTCTCACCAAATCTCACCCTGCCTCCGTTCCTCCAATTTATTTTGCGATGCACAACAACGACGACGATCAACTTGTCCATCATCTCTTCCTCCCCTAGCCGACGAAGTGGGGTCATTGTTAGTTCATTACAGTTTAGCAGTCAGCCAGTCCGCTAATATATACGAAAATTTCCGATACCAGAGCACATATGGAACACTTTCATTTGCCTCTTCTTCAAGATATTTAAACCAAGAAACCAGGCCATTTCTAAAATCTGTACACAACATGCGGCCACTAATCCATTCCTCCATAGATAAAATTGCATCATGAGCTGTATATAAGAAAGTGGTTTCTTCTTTCGTGAAGAATGAACTACTCGACGAGACTGCGAGGGTGGGAGACCACCCTCGCAGTCTCGTAAATTCCCTGTTAATTTAATTCCCTGTTAATTTATCTGTTGTCTCAATGTCGCCAAAAAAATATTACATAATTGAATTCCCCCCTGATAAATACAATTCAGTGCCTGTGGAGCTTGTTCCAAGTCACTGGGTTATCCCCGCAGAGAAAGTTTGTCTCTGGCCACCAAACTCTGGGCCAAGTATTAGAAATTTGATAAAAAAAGGGCACTGCTATTCCTGATGTCAAGTGGGGAAGAGTTAGCTACGCCAGGATTATTGGGAATTACGGTAAATAGCTATTTAATTCAAATTATGAGAAGTCATTCCAATTATTTTACATTTACTAACAAATATCATTATTTTAGATGATTATGAAGTTGCGACAAAAAAACTTCAAGTAGCCGAGGACACTTCCAACTTGGAAAGTGAAACAGAACCAGAAAGCAGATTAAGGAGCAAGAAGATAATTCCCGATATTCAGCCCAGCAGCACACGAGGGGATGTAACGTCTTCATCCGATGAGGAGGATAGCGACGCGAACAAAAACAGTCCTCCGTCTGGCTCACTTCTGGATAATTTGGAGCTGGGTAGGCTTATAATACTGCCACAAATATTTTATACTAATCATTATGGTGATGCTTTTTAGACCAACCATTGAGCATTCCTGAAATAATTCCCGAAACTGAAGAGCAAAGCAATCTACAAGTAGGAAATCAAGTTGAAACTGGAGACACCTCTTTTGTTGTTGTAAATTCGCAGGAGTTAAATGATTTACGGCTGTTGATTTCAAGTTAGTACAAGCAAAATAATTTTATTAAAATTGATGTATTATGTTAACGCTTTGTAATCACGTTGCAGGGACAACGCAAAGTGTGCTAACTTTGTTGGAAAAGCAGGCTGAAGACATTAAAGACATTAAGGCTTTACTGATTAATGTGAAACAAAGGCCGGATGGTAGGAAGGCTCCCAATTTCAGTGCCATTCCAAAATTTTCCCCTCGACAACGAGGTAGCACTGGCGGAGTTTGAATCTTGGCTCGAGGTGGATTCAAATCGCGAATTACTGGTACGATTTAATCGAGATATTTTACATGCATAATTAAACTTTAATGTCTTTCCTTATATTTGATACTAGGTTGAATATTTGGCATTTTCAACTGCGACACAGATCGAGGCGAGGACTAGAAAAATCTTGAAAAAATTATTTACGAATGAATTTGGCAGGCGAATTAATTTTACGGGTAAAGGAAACAAGACATCGATGAAAAACCTAAAACTATTGGAAGTCGTAAAAGGTAAAATATATTCTAAAATGAAGAAAATTTTCTAATTGTTGGTCTCTATTTAATGTTTAATTGGATTGCAAATTTCAGAAACCGTGCGAAACGTCTTTACAGTTGAGTCCGTTCCCGATCCCAAAAATCCCAGCGGCCGTATTCCCACCGATGATATAATTCAAACTGCAGCAATGAATTGGTTTCGTTCTTCAAAAAGTAGGTGCAACGACGACGCTCCCTCGGGAATTGCATCATAATCATGGATCGAGATGGAAAATCACCGAGAAACATTAATCGAATAATTGCAAAACGGGTTAGAGAGAATCTCACTCGTACAAAAAACATACCTGCTATTAGTAATAATCTTAAAATTAAGATTATTAAGATTATTATTACGTAAATTTAGATATATGTGATTCTGTCGTTGAGGATAGCGATTCAGGTAGTAATATTAGCAATAATGATAGAAGCAGTAATGTTATCCATAATAGTGACGAGCCATTAGTTTCCGATTCACTAAGCGACAATGGTGTAGTAGAAAATAATAGGAATATTTTAGATTTAACACGGGACTTGAGGGACTGGTCGCTTCGACATAACATAACGGGAGTAGCTTTAAACGATCTTTAAACTACGCATATTTAACTTTTATCAAGAATTTAGATTTCTTCCATTGGATAGTAGGACATTGCTTAAAAACTCAATTAAATACTCTATGAAAACTATCGGTCAGGGTCAATATGCACACTTTGATGTTATTCAAAATATAAAACGGCAAATAGATTCCAATTGTATTCTTGCTTCTGGTAGCGAAATTAAATTAAACCTTATATTTAGTTTTGATGGATTGCCCATTTCTAAGAGTAACAGTAACCAGTTTTGGCCAATTCAAGCAAAGTGTGAAGAAAGTACGTACGGCGTATTTGTCGTGGGTTTATTTTATGGCAAGACAAAACCAGAAAGTATTGACGAATACTTGATGGATTTGATAGCAGAGTTAAAAAGTTTGCGAGTTGGGATTAGTTACAATAATTTGAAAATATTTTGTAAGGTTTCAAAAATAATAGCTGATGCGCCAGCCAGGAGTTTTTTAAAGCAATGTAAAAGTCATAATGCATACAATGGATGCGAGAAATGTATAGATCCAGGTTTCTGGAAGGGACGTGTAATTTTCAGAACATTCGATAGTCCACTTCGATCAGGACAGATCAAGATTTTTATGTTCAAAAAGATAAACACCACCATGTAGGCATTTCCCCGTTTACGGAGCTTAAAATTTTGATGATTTCTTCGGTTCCTCTTGATTACATGCACCTCATTTGCTTAGGTGTGGTTAGAAAACTATTAAGAAGTTGGGTAAAAGGTCCATTGCCATTTAAATTATCTTCTCGTGATATTTCAACTTTATCAAGTAAATTAGTATTATTTTCGCATAGTTGCCCTAAAGAATTTTGTCGTAAGCCGAGGTCAGTAAAAGAGTTAGATATGTGGAAAGCGACAGAGTTTAGAACTTTTCTTCTTTATACAGGACCCGTCGCTTTAAAAGGATTATTGTCGCCGAAAAAGTATACACATTTTTTAAATCTTTGCGTAGCAGTCACGATTCTTATAACTACCAAGGCGCAAGCAAATAATTGGAACGATTATGCACGACAGCTTTTATTGAAGTTTGTTAAAAATGTTCCCAATTTATATGAAGAAGAGTTCTTATCATATAATATGCATTCTCTTATACATATTAGTGATGACGCTTTAAAGCATGGCCCGTTAGATTCTTTTAGTGCTTTCGATTTCGAAAATAATATGCAAGTAATAAAGCGCTCGCTACGAGCTCACTATAAACCTTTTGAGCAAACTGTGAATCGCACTGCTGAGAGAGAAAATCATAAGTACCAGTCCCCTGTGAATTTAAATAGACACTGTATTATAAAATCGAACGGAAAGGATCATTGTTTTATATTAAAGGATGGGAAAGTAGTTGTTATAAGTAGTATAAGTAAAGATAAAAAACATATAAATTGTAGAAAATTCAAACACTCGGACAACTTGTTCACTTGTCCGTGTGAAAGTAAAATTTTAGGAATAATTAAAGTTAGCAAATTATCAAATAGCGTAACCATAATAGGTATTAATGATATTGATAAGAAATGTTGGTTACTCCCGTCGGATAAAATAGATGAAAACATTTGCATTCCCTTGTATAATGTAACAATATAATTTTTGTTATGAAATAAATGATTTTGATAAAAATTAATAATTCGTGTTATTTGACTGCAGTAATTGCATGGAGTTTAACTGCAAGTTTTGCATCAAATTATTCGTTTCTTTTGCGCAATATTCTACGCTCTAAATTGCATTAATTTGACGGTTATTTCTACGCAATATTCTTGAGGCTAAATTGCATGAATATGACTGTCAATTCTATGCAATATTGACAGTTTATTTTACGTTAAATATCTAGTATATTTTCACGGATTTTTGCCGGCCATCAGTTGCTGCAATTTAACTGTATGACTTTTGCGTAAAAGTGATAGCTTTTGTTGATCGGGCTAGAATTCATTTTCCGTAACTCGACTCAAACTCATTATTTTTCAACTCACTCATTTGAAAGTGAGTCGAGTTATACTCTCGACTCAAACTCAACTCAACTCACTAACTCAATGCGTCAAATGAGTTGACTCGAACTCATTGGCAGTCCTAACGAGAATGTTGTGTGGAGTTGAAATCCTCGTTATGCTCTGGGGTACAGTTTTAATCGTCGATATTAGGTCTTCACCCGAGCGGGAATACGCAAAAATACGAAATCCTAGATGAGTCCTAGATGAATCCTAGATGGGGAGGAAGAAATCATGTGATCAAAAAAGTTCGGGAAGTTTGATTGAATTTCATCTAAATTGAATAGTTCAACAGTGCACATATTACAAATTCTGCTCTTGGAATTTACAGCTTGAGATAGGGTTTGGTTATGGATCAAATTAGAAATATGCGTGTTTAATACGGGAACAGTGATACACTGTTCATCCAGCTGGATATCGTTAAAATTGAAAAATTCCAAACAACATTGTGCAAAGATTTGCAGAAAGGGGCAGAAGGCCAACATGTTTGGTGGTATTTGTCAATTTGTTATTGGTTGTCTTATAAATGGTATTTTTTACTGGTTCACCGAATTGATCAAAGAGAACCAAAATTTAATAACTTTGTTGTTTTGAGTAATCACATGCCACACGACGGATGCTAAAAGTCTTAGTCGAGTTATGCATGAATTAAGTAGTTTCGGTAGTACGTGGGCGAAAAATTATTATGTACAAAGAAAAGAAGTAAATGTAATCGACAATTTTTCGACACGTGAGCTGACGCATTTCCTTTATTGCAAAATACATGCATGAAATTAGTGCATAACAATGTTTTTACATACTTACCAAAAAGTGGTTGAAATTCAAATATCCATTTTCCGTCGGTCCAAGATACTATTACGGTGTCGAGTTAAATATGTTACCATTTTTCGCAGTCGACAACATTAAGGTCAATTTCATTAATGAATGTGCACTTGTTTTATACGTATAGAATATTTAATTCACATTTATGTATGCCGCATGTACAAATGTACATAAATCAAAATAATACTGTGCACATAAAACGAAACACTGGTGCGTAATCCGCTAATCGATTTGAATAATTTGTTTTAGGAAATTCTTCAAATCGATACCAATTGGCTTCAACATACCAGCAAGACCTCGGCACATGCATATGTGCCAAAATTTTGCTAGTTACGTTACATATACGTTATGCATAAACACAAATTTTCATATGTGCGTTATTTGTACATATGTATGCGCGATAAAGAAGTTATTCAGCAAAATATTGGTCACAACCAGTAAAAAATTGGTTGATAATATTCCCGACCAACAGCTCCTAGCCAAATTCGAGATATAGATTCAATGATAATGTAAAATGCAAATATCGTAGCTAATTTTCAGGCCTCATGTCCCAATTAGTTTGAGGATTTCTGACCACGTAGTAAATACATACAAAATATAAACCTTTAGATACAAATTCCTACGTAAGGTGCTTTCTTTTTTGAGGCAGTGAGAATTTTTGCATATCGTCGTACTAATTCATAAAGGACCTAAGTGCAGTCGAACCTAAATTAAAAAAAGACCTAAGTGCAGTGGGTGCTTAATTCAGATTTGACCTAAGTGCACAGAAAAAAAGACCTATTTGCGTGCAAGTATGTATTTACTTATGGCTAAATCGTGCGATATATGTATGAAGAATCGTTTTGGCAAGATATAGCCATAAGTATGTAAATACATACTTGCACATAGGTCTTTTTACTTTTTTTCCGTACACTTAGGTCTTTTCTGAATTAAGCATCGCCTGCACTTAATTCTTTTATGAATTAGTACGACGATATCTGATTTCGCATATTTTTCGCGTATTTTAGTAGATAAATAATCCATAATAAAATTTGGGCCCTTAAAGTTTCTGAGACTTATTTATGCCTTACAAAAAAATTCACCTAGGGGCTCTGCGATGACTTAAGCCCCACTGGTCACATCGTCTCGAAAGCACCCAACATGATTGGCGCATGTATGTATACATATGCAAAAAAAATTGCGTCAAGTTTTGCTCTCTTTGCGAATTAATTGATGCAGTTTAATTTCATAATTGACACATAATAGAAACAACTTAAGTGTGTAGAATTTCTTGAAATTATTTATGGGGTTTCGACAACTCGTTGGAAGTAGACTTGCACGGCGGCCCAGACCTCTGTTTTAAAGGAGGGAAGAACGAGAGTTATTTAATTTATGCAAATTTGCAAATTTTTAAATTTGAAATTTTTAATTCTGAAAAATTTTGTTCCCACAAACCTTGAGCATTTGGAATAATTTGGGCGGGTGGAAGGACAAAGCTGGTGCCACGCATTTCGACCGTGGTTGTGTATTTGATACCGTGATCCTTCGCCCAATCGTCGGAAGCACCACCGACTCCGTCTGAAATTTATGGAGAAGTATGTACGATGGTTTTTTTAGACCCTCTTAAAAATGTTTAATGGAAGGCTACCCCTTTGAAAAATAAGTTTGTAACTCATCTTAAATTCTATATTCTGTAAACTATGCTAAATCCGAAGCAATATTAATTTGATAAATATTAAGTTCATCATTAATTTTCTTGATAAAATATTTCGAGCGTATTTACTGTTCAGGAGAGCAACATTATTTTTAAGGCTGCAAGCAACATCGCTAAGAGGACGGATGGTGGACATGAGTTGGTTAAAAACCCGAGCCTCTCTACCCGGTAAATTCCTGATCTACATATATTCGGTAATTCGGGGTTTTTACCGGGTTAATCCGACCCACCCCTAACGACCGAACGTTGATTTATAAAATTTTCCATGGACTTACAAAGGAGATCAGCCCCTTGTCCGGTTCGATAACGGGTTCCGTGAACGGCTTGCAGCGCAGCGATGGCGGCACGGCCCAAGCTCAACTAAATATTTCGTAATTTTTTAAAGAAATTTATTAAAAATTTTGTTTTGTCATCTTATATTAAATTTTAGCTTCACTTGTTCATCATAATCTGGTGGATAGACGCCGGCAGTGTAACCCCATGGGAGAAGCCAGTCCTGATCAATGAGTAATTTATATAATTAATTCTGTTCAGAATTTGGGGGACGTTCAGAAATTACGTAACGTAAAAATGTGTACGCTCGGTTTTTCAAGCCTCAGACTCCCCACTCCCCACTAGCTCGTTACATAATTTATGAACGTCCTTATAAAAGAACAATTAAATATTCTAACATATCCGTAGCAATGGAAAGTCAAGTAGGCGAGGAATCGGGTACCGGCGGCCTCCTGAGCGACGATGTAGTCTCGAACGGTCCTGGTTTCGCTTTCCGAGAAGGCGGCAGATCCGTGGTAGAGGTTGTTGCAAGGATCTGGTGACGTCATTTCACCCCCTGTGTAAATAATTTGAAATGATTGAGGCGTGTGAGTCTCACTTTGTTACTTGTACATTAAGGGATAGGGAATTTAATATGGGAAAGATAGGAAGACGTGAAGCACCACCCCGCTAAAATGATGTCGCAATATTTGGACGTTCCCTTTATGTGTCGACCATTGCTGGCTAGTTTTAGTACAGATCCGATCCCATCGGTTTTTTATCCGACCATTTTTCTATCAATGCATAACATGGGTTGAATCCGGTCCGATCGGATCGGATGTTCTAGTAAATGGTGGATTATCCGGTCGGATCGGATCTTATCGTAAATGGTCGGCTTATCCGGTCGGATCGGATTTATAACACTCTGTACCCCTTACCGAACATGAAGGCGAAATTCCTGTTGGGGTCGCATCCCAAGCAAGCAGATCCGGCATTTACGGAGCGGGTCTTTCTCCAAAGTCGGTCCCCAGTATGACAGAATTCATACCCGTCTGGGTTGACCATGGGGATGATGTGGATATCAATCTCGTTAAGAACGTTCATGTACGCCGTGGTGTTGGTGATAAGCTCGTTGATAATCCAGGTCCCCGTGGCTCCAGCGATCCATTCTCGCGCGTGGATGTTAGCGTCAATGATGACGGATTTCTTGGGGGCTCCTCCTGTCGAGATCTTGACGGCGTGGATGTCCAAACCGTGGTAGGAGCGACCGATAACGGACACGGTGGCGTATTGGCTGGATAATCCGTTCAACCAAGTCTCAATCTTTTGAATGTGGTGGAAAATTATGATTTTAAAAGTTTCGAAAAAATGTATAAATATATTTCTGTATAAAAATATTCTCCAAATATGCATCAAGAAGCTTTGGCTAGTTTTAATTGGATCTTTATATTATTTTTAATCCGGTCGGGTCCGATTCAATCTGATATAACCATTTACTTGGCTAGACATTGATCCGATCGACATGATTATCCGACCATTTTCTATAAAATGGACCGATTTCCGGACCCATGTTATACATGATAAATGGTAGCATAAAAAATACCCGATCCGATCCGACCCGACGGATCGAAAATTATCGGATCTGATCTACGAACACTACATCTTACATAAATACGTAAAACTATTATTTTCTTAATGAACGAAAAATGCAAAAAAAATGAGCAAGTAAACTTTCAAAAGAATGACTTACATATGTATGTAATACCAAAAAAACTATTATTTTTTTAGTCGTAAAGATTTAAGCCAAATAATTTTTGTAAAACTTGACTAATACATAAATCTTTAAGCGAAATAATTAACATGCCAATTTATATTCCTGGCTAAAAAAGATATCGTCTTACCTCCGCAAATCGTGGATACCTGTCCCATGAGATACGTTCGCTACCAGCCTTCTCGTTTGCGACGCGTTCCTCTCGTACCAAACTGAATTTTGCAAATTTTAGAATAAATGTTACATATCTCAAATTTCATTTCATTTACATATGTTTTTTAAGTTTTACAGAAAATTTGCGTTTGGAAGCTTTTAGAAAATTTTTATTTTTCATGTCGTTTTCATGTCATTACGGATGGTTGTTGATTAATGTTTAAAAAATATTACTCACGTTTCAACATCGGCGATCTTAACGGTGAATTTGATGCCAGCCTTGTCCATGATTGACGTAAAAGCAGCGATTTGTTGAGGGGCTGCCATCACATCGGTGAATCCAAGACCGCGAGGGGTCGTCCAGAAGTCATAGTCTCCACCGAGATACAGAGTCCTCAAGAGTTCAAGTTGACCATGAGTGGTCGCCTCAACCGTGAACACGTGGTAGCTGGAAATTGTACGAATTACGTATTTGTGACTAACTTTTGTAAAAAAAAAGTAAAGAATTTTGTGACACATGTACAGATAATTTGGTGCATTTAATTTTGACATTTCTTTAAAATAAATAAATACATATACTTAAGTTAGATAAAATTTTGGGAACTTAATAGCCTTGGGGATACGAAAGTTGGCAAATGCATTTTTAAACCAATTGTTTTACGAACTTTTTTTGCGAACTTGCCAATTTCTTGTTGCTAAGGATGCAACCTCGTAATGAATACCCCCATTAATTTTACGGCATAAATCTCAAATTATTTTATGCATTTACTTGAAAGCTTCAGTTTTTTGCATATTTTTCTTGGTAATTCAAATTTGCACAAATTAACAGCGACGACTTACCCGTTGAACGACCTAAGCCCAGTTTCCCTGGATTGGGAGGCTGCGACAAGCGCGAGGACGGCGACGAGCGCGACGGAAAATTTCATCCTGCTTGATGATCCAGTAACCGAGACTTCCGAAGGAATGAGCTCAATCCACTCGTAATTACCCAAATTATATGAATTGGTCAAGTGTAAAGTGCACGGGTAAATTCGTAATAGATATCTAGAGATATTGGGTAAATTTGCAATTTAGAGATATGTACTGGGTAAATTTGTGCTTGTCTAATAATTGATTGATGGATTGGTGGATTGTTTGTTGTGTAAATTATGTAAATGTGTATGTGTTTATGACCATGGTGACGAGAACTTTTTACGGAGGAGAGCGTTGCATACAAATTTTCCATTGGAGATAACTAACTCGGGACAAAAAAAACCTAAATACGTACAGGGTTCCCCACGGCATGTTTTATTCCGTAATTAGTATATTAAAATTTAATATAGATATTCGAAAAAGGTTTTTTTTGTGTACGAAATTCGTGCCTTATTTAATTTTTGGTTGAAAGAAAAGGAAATATTCCAGTCCATTCGGAGAAAATATGCTTTCCACGTGTTTAGCAGAAACACACACGCGGTGTAATTGTTGTATTTTTGTTTGGGTCCGGCACTTTGGGGAATTTTACATACACTCTTAGAAATATATACGTATGTGACTCCACCGCCGTGGTTATAAATTTGTCATCGAGTCGTTACAATTGTCACCGACCAATTATACAGTTTCACCGACTTGGTATTAAATTGTCACCAGAGCTAATCAATTTATAACAAGTTGGTGACAAATTCATAACCACGGTAGTAGACTAACATTCGTATATTTTTTGGTTATCATCGTACCCCCATTTCTAAGAGTGTATAGTCATCAGGGTTTTACTTTGCCCACCTTTTGAGCTTAATCCCCAGCCCGGTGGGTAAAATGGAAAAAATGGGGGAAATGGGTGGGAAGTGGGGAAAATGGGTATGAAGGGTTATAGTGAGGTGGTGGGCCACCACCACCATTGCGGGAGGTTTATTTTCCCTGTTTTGTTCTGATCTTACTGTTTATTAAATAAACCACTCGATTTTTTGTTTTGCCGGTAAGTTAATTAATTGTCAATTTAGTAACCATCCCTCCTTTCGTTGCATTGCACATTCTGAAGTTTAACCTGCAACATGTCGAGAAAAAAGAATGTGCTTACTGACTCACAGATTCAAGAAATTCTGGGTAAATAAATATCCTAACAATTTACATTGATTTTATTCTCTGATGGTCGATAGCAATTTGTTTTTCTCATTAGATCTTGACAGTGATAGCGACAAAACCACAGAATCTGATTATGATCGTGAACTTAAATATGGGTCAACTATCCAAGATAATCTGGCCCATGAAGAAGGAAATGCAAACGATTTCGAAGACAGCAATATGGACACGGATTCCTTCGTGTCACGAGATGGTGAAACATTACTTTAAATACTTTAAAAGTGACTCTAGTACAGGTTAGCGACCATAACCTGACATTAGTGCACATTAATTGTTTTCAGATCAATTTAACGAGCAACCCAGCACTGATACAAACTCAGCTCCAGTGGTGTCATCTCCCATGCAACATAATCTTGAAATAACATTCATCGACATATCCAGTCCATCTCAGAAAGTAGGCAGAAATAAGTCTTTAGTGTGGGACTGTTTCGAAACAAAGCAAGTCAACGGAAAAATTATAAGCAACAAGTGCAAAATTTGCAAGGAAGAAGTAAGCGATAAAGTAGAGCGAATGAAGAAACATTATGAAAAATGCTCGAAGAAAGAAATGAAGAGAGCTGTACCAATGTCACTCCACAGTGCAACAGAGTCAGCTGCAGCAAATTGTTCGCCGTCGTCTTCTACAACCTTTCTGAAGCACCCAAAATCTAAAGTTTCGTAGCAAGCCTGGCAAAAAATAAATCGGAAGAAATAACATTACACTTAGGAAAATTTCTTTACGCCACCAACTCGACATTTCATATGGTTGAAAATCCAGATGTGATGTTTATTTGTTTATGTTTATTTGATGTTTGTGATGTTTATTTGCAAAATGAATAATAATCATTAAAATGTCAAGTGTGATATTTATAATTTATTGAACATTGTCGAATTCTTAACAAGCTTCGTAATGTCTCATATTCGGAGAACTATTTTCAGCCCATGGAATGTAAATCTCCTTAAAAATTTGCATTGTCGCTTTGGCATCTTCCAGGGCGGTGTGAATTTGTCCGCTTTTCTGAATCTCGGAATTAAAATAGTGACGATAGATTTTCTTTAGCGACAAAGGTTGATAATTTTTTCGACCAATTTTGTTGAAAGTTCCGTTCCATTTTTGAAAAGTATTTTAACGAATCGACGTCCCCTCCTCTGATGTCCAGACTGTTGAAATCTGCTGCACCGTTACAGGTCACCACCAATTTTCCATCCAAAATCGAAATAATTTTATCTCTAACTTTGTCCATATCAATTCCTCCAATCAGCGAATCTTCGCGGAATCCGTTCACGGAGATTGTCTCCTTGCTTACCAGAAAGGATCCCTTTTCATGGAAAATCATCTCCTAGAAAACCGAGTAATAATTAATTAATTGTGATTTTGCAATGGAAAATATGATTAAATTGCGTACCGAAAAGATTTCCTTTCCGTCAAAATCTACAATGCTAACGGTTGCTGCGCGAATGATGTGTTTTTTACGTCCATTTAGTTTCTTTAATGCAACCATGAAGTGGTTTCAAGTCGTCCAAATTACAGCAGTCGTCAATTATCCCTTTCAACATCCCAAGTCTGCTGTGCTGATCGACTCCACGCAGTAGATTTTTTATTGTCTCCTAAAAAATGAATCACATGAAAATAAATCACAATCAAGAAATTTGTCCATTATTATTTATATAGGAAATTACCAAATGGTTTAACATGTTTCCCGATTAATGTTAACGTCCAACACTTACACACAGAAGAGAAATATTTTGTATCAGATAGAGAGTCAGCAATTATATTTTTATAATCTTACAGGAGTCTCGTGTTATTTAATGTGCATGAATCAATTTATCTTTCAAGTTGGGAGCGAAAAAGTGAATCATTTCGCCCCAAAAAGTATTTTCCCCATTTTTTCCATTTTCCCCACTAATGAGGCTTTTTGGTGGGTGGCTAAAACCCATTTTCCCCACCCTATTTTCCCCACGGTAAAACCCTGATAGTCATTGTGAAACTGGATCTTTTTGCCAAAATACATGTATAACTTATATAAATATTTGGTTATCTCTTGGAAATTTTACACTGTGCCCTCACCCGTCTCCATTACCATGGTCAACTTCGTCCTTGTCAACATTTAATTTATATAACGCACAATGCACCAATCAATCAATCATTCATTTACATAAGTATAAATTTACCCCGTATCTCCAAATTAAAAATTTACGCCGTATCTCAAAATTCAAAATTTACCAGTGCGTTTTAAATATATGTAGTTGACCAATTCGCATAATTGAGTTAATTACGCGTCGACTGAGCTATGACATCCTCGGGTCATGAATCGCTAAGCAGTTTTCCGTCGCCATCCTCGTCACAACTTCAAACCCAGGGCGACTGGTGTTACGTCCTTCAACAGGTAAGTCGTGTTTAATATGTAAATTGTCCAAATTTTAATCATGGCAAAATAATATGCATATAAGCTTAAACTTCGGCGAAATAACGTGACTTACAGGTTTGAAGATAACTATAATTATTACACTGTGGTAACATTTATTTTGGCTGCCCGCCCGGCAGTCAAAAAACAATTGCAAAAAATTGATAGTATTAATTAATAGCATTATTTGGTTTTGAGACCCTTATGTCAAAATTAGCATATTGCAAAAAACTGTTAGACGATTCAATCTTAAGGTGCGATTGTATGCAGTATGCATCAAAATGGCGATCTTGAAACCTGTTCATCTCAGTGCGTTTTATTTACAAAAAGAAGATTTTGTTGCATCAGAAACTCGAAAATTTTTAGGTTTACAGAGATAGGAGGTTAGAATTTTGATTTTTGTCTTAAATGAGCAAATAAATTATTAGTAAGTACGGTTTTTCATCTATTTTATTTCTGCTTTTTTATATGTATCAGAGAAAAATTAAACTTCAAATCTCCTAACCAACATAAAATTTTCGATTTTGAGATGCAGTAAAGTGTAAATTTTGTAAAAAAACAACGGAAATGAATAGGTTTCAAATCGGCATTCGAATACGGAGACGTTCAGACAAATACATTTTCATATACTCCAATCCTGTACACATTAACAGGTTTTCCTTGTTTTGAGATTTCATCCCTTGATTAAGTTCGTTTGTAACGGTTTGGTATATTTAGGATCGCGCCCAATTAAGCGGGGACTCAGTCCGTCTGTCTGTCCGTCCGGGAGAATGGATGCGACATCATGCATATTCGTATCTTTTTTCATATACAAAAATTCATATGACGCAGGGGGAGGATCCCACATGTAAAATTTTGAAGTCAATCAGTCTGCCCTTGGCACCCTCGCGAGGTCAGTGGGTGTGACACATAATTGTGGATTTTTGAGGGACCAACCAAATTGTTCATACAATAAGAATTTGTAGAAATGTGCAATCATTCAACTTATTGAATTGTCTTAATATGTGGTTCATACTCATTTGGGCCAAAAAATTGAAAGTGAAGTGAAAAAAGTGAAGGATACAAGTTTGGAAAAATTAAGCTTAAATTTTTGAACTGAATTACACGATGTGTATTTATTGACAAATAATTTGTAAATTCTTTTCATTCGTGTGCATGCACAAATGTAATTATGTGCGATACTGTCCAGTGGCAAAAATGGCAAAATAGCAGCCGCTGCAAAGTGTCTAGTTTGTGCTAAAAAAATTAGACTACTTCAAATTTGAGTTCTCTTTGCGAATTTATTAATGCAATTTTGTAGTTAATTGACACGTCATGTTCAGAAACTATGTAAACTCTGTGTAATTGGGTGGAATTGTTTATGGGGTTTCGATAACGCGTTGGAAGTAGACTTGAACGGCGGCCCAAACCTCTGTTTTTTTAGAAAGACAAAAATGAGAATTAATCCATTAAAAAAAATATGCTAATTTTTGCATAAAACCGAAAAAAAAATTAGCACAAACCTTGAGCATTTGGAATAATTTGGGCTGGTGGAAGGACAAAACTGTTGCCACGCATTTCGACCGTGGTTGTGTATTTGATACCGTGATTCTTGGCCCAATCGTCGGAAGCACCACCGACTCCGTCTGAAATTTATAGAGAAGAATGATGAGATTTTTTCTAGATGCCCTCTTAAAAATAGTGTTACCCATTTGAAAAGTAAGTGCAAAACTATACTAAATACGGAGTAATCCTTAAAGTTTAAAAAGAGCAAAGCTTGCTTTGTGTTTTATATAGTTTACTTAATAAGTATAAAATCAAAAGTGGATCTTACTTTTGAAAAGGTTAGCACTATTTTTAACAGTGTAAGACGGACAAATAAACAGAAAACATTCAGATCAACTTACAAAGCAGGTCGGCACCCTGTCCAGTTTGATAACGGGTATTGTGAACGGCTTGCAGAGCAGCGATGGCAGCCCGACCCAAGCTCAACTATTTCGTAATTTAAAAAATACGATAAATTGATTACAAATTTGTTTTTTGTCGTTTTTTAAATTTTTTGGCTCACCTGCTGATCATAATCTGGTGGGTAGACGCCGGCTGTATAACCCCATGGGAGAAGCCAGACCTAATTAATTAATTAAAAAATTTAGATTAATTTTTGTGCCGGGAATTTATGGGGCAAATTAAACGTTCTCACATTTCCGTAGCAATGGAACGTCAAGTAGGCGAGGAATCGGGCACCGGCGGCCTCCTGGGCGACGATGTAGTCTCGAACGGCGGTGGTTTCGCTTTCTGAGAAAGCCGCAGAACCGTGGTAGATGTCGCTGCAAGGATTTGGTGAAGTAGATTCTCCGCCTATATAAATAAAGATAGATAATTAAGTGGTGTGTGTCATTTTGCCCCGGTTTCGAAATCTCGTGTTTTGTTTCTACTTTTCTTTAAAAACCTTCCTAAATACGATTCACGAATAATTTTATCAGCTATTTAGTTTTAATACTTTATCGACTGAAAATATTTTAAATTTATACAATTCTCAATTTCCCCTATTTTTGTAGTGTATCGTCACTTCCAATTTTCCTTATTACCAAGTAAAAAATGATTTGGTATTTTTCGTTTCATTCGAATTTCATAATTTCCAATTAATAATATTTTTAGATAATTTAATTGACGTCGTAGGATTTTGTAGTTGGGTGTGACACCCTTTTTACACCAGGTTTTGAATTTATTTGGTGACATTATTTAGTGGCGATCCCTAACTAGATTTAATACATTAAATCTGGTCAGCCGGATCGGATAGATTTTTTATCGGATTATATGTGGATCCGATCCAGAAATCGGACCGGATAATAATGTTCGGATATCCGATCGGATCGGGTGAGATTAACAAAATTACCGCTTACCGAACATAAATGCGAAATTCCTGTTGGGGTCACATCCCAAACAAGCAGAGCCGGACGTGACGGAGCGGGTCTTTCTCCAAAGTCGGTCCCCAGTGTGGCAGAATTCATACCCGTCTGGGTTGACCATAGGGATAACGTGGATATCAATCTCGTTCAGGACGTTCATGTACGCCGCGGTGTTGGTGATGAGCTCGTTGATAATCCAGGTCGCGGTGGCTCCAGCGATCCATTCTCGGGCGTGTATGTTGGCGTCAATGATGACAGATTTCTTGGGGGCTCCTCCCGTCGAGAACTTGACGGCGTGGATGGCCAAACCGTTGTAGGAGCGGCCGATAACGGACACGGTGGCGTATTGGCTGGATAGTCCGTTCAACCAGGTTTCAATCTTCAAAATTTCATGGACAAAATTAAGATTTCAAAAAACTTCGAAAGAATGATTTTCAAAAAAAAATTAGCCACAAAAATATTAGATAAATATGTATCATGCAACTTTTTTCTGTCTGGTGATGGTCATCCGATCGGACCAGACTATCTGACCATTTATTGTCTATAACATGGATCATATCCTACCGGATTATCCGATCTTATCCGATCCACACGTCTACTATATGTAACATCGATCCCATTAACTCTATTCGATTTTCGAACCCATGTATGTAATAGTAATTGGTCTGATAAAAAATCCCACTCGTCGAATCCACAATTGTCGGATCGGATCGACAAACACTACAAGTGTGCAATTCCGAATGCAAAAACATATGCAAATTCTTATCTTGACCCAAGAATGAGAAAAATTTGGGAGAATAATTTGCATATGAAGAAATGTCACAATAATTATGATCAGTTTAGTTATAAAATTGTGAATTTGGTTTAATGCATAAAATTAGTCTCTTTCGCATGTGAGTTTACTTTCTTATTTAGCTAACAAAAATTAGAATCTCTTACCTCAGCAAATCGTGGATACCTGTCCCATGAGATACGTTCACTGCCAGCCTTCTGGTTCGCGACGCGTTCCTCTCGCACCAAACTGGAGTTTGGATAATTTTAGAAATTGTATTTTGTTAATTTTAGTTTTAAAATTCAGAAATTTTTCATTCACGTTTCGACATCGGGGACCTTAACGGTGAACTTGATGCCAGCCTTGTCCATGATGGAGGTAAAAGCAGCGACTTGTTGGGGGGCTGCCATCACATCGGTGAATCCAAGACCGCGAGGGGTCGTCCAGAAGTCGTAGTCACCACCGAGATACAGACTCCTCAAGAGTTCAAGCTGACCATGAGTGGTCACCTCAACCGTGAAGACTTGGTAGCTGGAAATTATTTGCATATTATTTATGAATAAGCTTCGCAAAAAATTGAGAACAATTGAATGATTTTTGTGATGTCATTTAGTAAAAATAATTTAATGCATTTTGTATTAATTTTGTACACAAAATAATGCATTTCGTGACATCATTTAATAAAAAATGCATGCATCCTCTGGTGACACAATTTAGTAAGAAAAAAAATGACAGAATTTTTGTAACATAATTTGCACTTAATTTAGTCCCACAAAACTTGAATGAATTTTTAAACAAAATTTGGTTGAAAGCTTGCGTATTTTGCATATTTTTTTACGTATTGGAAAATTTGTAGCTTTCAAATTAACAAAAAAGCGACTGACCCATTGAACGAACGAAGGCCAGTCTCCCTGGATTGGGAGGCGGCGACGAGCGCGAGGACGGCGACGAGAGCGATGGAGAACTTCATTCTTCTTGATGATCCACGAACCGAGGGCGTCAAGGGAATGAGCTCATTCCACTCTTGCCTAACTCAATTATACAATTTGGTCAAGTTTGATAAGTTAAACTGAACAATGTTGAGATACGGGGTAAATTTGTGTTTGTGTAATTGATTGATTGATTGGTACATTAATTGTAAAGTAGTGATAAATATTTGGATGACAATGACGAAGTTGACATCCACGGTGACGGATCCCTCACGGGAATACTGTTTACGGGAGAGGGCGTGGCATAAAAATTTTCCAAGTGAGATATGTAACTAACTCGTGACGAAAATACACTTAGGGTTTCAGACAGCATGATTTTTATTTATACATAATGTTAAGATTTAACAAAAATCGGACAGTTTCCTTAAATTTTTGTTGCATAAGGTGAAAATATTCGAGTCAATCGGAGAAAATGTGTTTCCAAGTGACGGTCTTTCGTTGATGTTATTTATAAAGGTTGATGAATTAAATAATTTTATAACGAAGATGACTGACAATGGAGGTCTCCCAACACCGATTTGGACCAAACTAGCGTCAATCGATCGCAAATTTAATTAGTATGAAATTTGCAAATGGAACTATCTGCAAATGCGCAGGTTTCGCAGAGATATTTGCATAAAAAGAGGAGAAAACGCACCCCCAAGGCTGGCAAATTTTTCTTTTTCCAAATTTTCTGCGCATGTTTCCCGCTTTGGATGCAAATATCTCCGCCAAACTTGCGCATTGGCAGATAGTTCCATTTGCAAATTTCATACTAATTAAATTTGCGATCGATTGACGCTAGTTTTGTCCAAATCGGTGAGCATACGTTGGGAGACCTCTATTGTGAGTCTTTTGAATATAAATCTCAATTTGACACGTGTCAGTAAATCTGATTTGATGGCGTAACACAAAATAAGAATAAATTATGCGTGATAATTTTTTCCTTTGCCATAATGCACGAATTATTTTATTTTTCACTGGTTTTTGGAACCCTGGGAGATAGATATTCGGTACATATATTTGGGAGAAATTGAGTTATTGTTACATCAAGGTTTGGAGATATATACGTACACAATTTGCAAAATTACTACGGTGTGGTAGCCATGTACATATGCAAATAGATATGCACATCAATCACACATAATACATAAATACCACACTCCACACTATTAAAGAGAAAAACCTACTTGGATGCATTTCCTTGCTTATTAATATGTAGATGGCAGCTTGCGTACCTCAGTAACGAAAAATCCCGATTTTAATTATACGAATGACAAACCATTGTATCACGCAATTTATGAACGGACCCATGCCATGTGCAAAAAAAATGCACTGAAGAAAGGTTTGCATACGTGTGAAAGTAATCAGCTCATATGTACTTTTTTGCAGACGGGACGCCACTTTTTGCACCCAATTTCAAATTGAATGCTTGTTTGGTCAAGTGTTAAATAACTCGTGGATACATAATTTGAAGGTTGGAATGAGTGAGTCGAATGGAAAAAACTGGTTTAATTGGGGACACGTTTTTACCGTAGTCGGGTTATCTTTGTGTTGGACAGACCAGTTGATAAGTGGGAGGGGATAATTAAGTGACATAACGTGACAGTTGCGTAATTAAATAGATATAAATACAACGCAAATTTGGTTAAGTACATATATAGAGATGGGGAATTTAGCATATTAAAAACGTAAAATTTTATGAATTTTGGACATGACTACGGGTTAAAAATTAATTGTATGAGCATTAATTTAAATCGGGAAGGCCTTAAATGAATAAATATGTAAATGAATTAGAATGCCTGGACACACTTACATATTTTGTTACATGGGTTACATAAGTCAATTTTCAATTAATGTTATCTTTTATGTTATGTTACCATTTATTTATCTAGTATTTATTAATAACATAAATAACTTGTTAAATTGTCGGTCGATGAATACTTACTTATTTATTAAATAAAAATAAAATTAGTCCTTGAATTTCACCATATTTGGTACATATGTAGAGGGTTTTTATAGAGAAATATTCTGTTTAATTTGTATTTATTGAAATTTTAGACCAAATTTGAAAGTTTTTAAAATTATTAACGCCAATCCAAATATTATTCCCGGGAATAAGAATTTGGATTAAATACTTTTAGAAATTTATGTTAGTGTTAAAATACATCAGATATTTATGCACAAAGTCGAATTAAGCTATAATGTCAATTGTTTCAAATTAATGAATAAACACGAATAATATATAAAAATAAAATTAAAAGTAATTCATAATCCCCGAAAAAAAAATTTGCAAAAATACCCACCCATACAAAAATTCATTCCGACTGGAATCCATTAAAGCCCGACCCAACTCGTCTTCTTTGATTTCACTGTGACCATGACGATGACGATCCACCCACAGGGGACGATGATAATATCGCAAGTCTGGCGGAGATAATTTTTTTCACGCAGAAATCCATCACCGACTTGGCCTCGAAGAGTTTCGCCACCTCGTAAAGCTCGACGAGTTCCTGATTGTCCACGATGTAGTTCATGTGATATCCGTAGAAAAACTGCAAAAAATTATGATAAACATTAATAATTTGATATTTGATTTGAAAAATCATATACATAGAAATGTATAATTTTGAAATAAAATCAAAAACCTAAAAAGGAAATGAATAATAGAACTACTACATAAATTAGCAAGTAGCATACACTCTAAAAAATGCGGTGACCATTATAACAAGAAAGTAAACATGCATATATGCCATGGTCACCAACTGGTTGTAAATATATCACCAGTAGTAATAAATTTAATACCAGTGGTGGTAAATTTATAACTAGTCGGTGAAAAAGTTATATGTAACCATGGTGGTAGAGTCATATAGGTTTAGTTTATGAATAAAATACTAGCCACCATTTTTTAGATATAAAAATTTGACACTTTTCCATAATTTAGAAAAAAAATGGTAGAAAATTATGACAAAGTTTCCATTTTTTCCGTGGTAATTTTTTTGTCTTGCTCCCTTTTTGTTTCTAACTGCCAAACTTTGTATTGGCTCACAGTACTCGAAATAAATATCAAATAGCTTATGCAGTCTTTTATACGCATAATTATGTAACCACTCAAAATCGAAAAAAATATAAAAAACTGTATCGCCTTACGCCAAGCATTCTGCGAAAGTGGAGTTCCTTCAAATTGTCAAAGGCATCATTGTACTCGTACAACCTTCCAATCTCCGAGTTGATCAACCGATCCAAAACGGGCGACTTTCCGGACACGATTTCCGTGTGGAGTGAGACCAGGGCGTAGCAAAAGTCGCCAGACGGCGTCGTATTTCGCAAAATGAAGTGGCGGTCAACCAGCTCGTCGGACATTTCGAAAGCCAATTTGGCATCGTCGGGGTGAAATTTGGTGGCCAAGGGTCGGTAATTCAACTGCGAGGAAATGAGATATGGTTATTTTATTAAATTTATTTTATAATTTAGAAAATTGTTGGGTACCTAGCATTTCCATAATTTTATCAGTACTTAGCAAATTTTATGCACACCGGTAAAAAGTTGGAGATGGAAAATAAACAAATTGAAACTGTATGTAAAATTAGCACAGAATTTCGCAAAAGTTGGGCAGTTATAAATGTACAATAAAATAAACTTGGAAAAAAATTCTAAACCAATGCAGGTCAAAAAGAGATTTTAGAAAATTGTAAAATTTCCATATCTGCATAATTTTACGTCTATGTATTTAATTACTAAATATTTGATTACCATAAATTTCATTTACCGTAAAAAGCTGGGATTGGAAATTAAATTGAAATTTAAAATTTTTACTCACCCAGTTTTGCGATTTGTAACCGTTTTGCAGCGACATATTTATGAAATGTTAACGTATGTATGTAGTAGATTTCACGGTTTATGTAAATTTGTGTGTATTACAGGGTAGTTAGTGTCGCGCTGGTGGAAATTTTCGTGTTCACTTGACAGAAGCTGCAAAGGGATTGAAGGGCATAAAGGGTTGCAGGGAATAGTATTTTACGAAAAAGCACGTGCGAACGAGTTTATTTATACATTCAACCCTAAATATTTTCTGGTCAGTTAAACGCTTCTAAACAAAGGGCAGATGTATTTTTATCAAAAATTCGCAGAAATAGAATGTATTTAGTTAATATTTACGAAAGAAACCCAATATATTTGTAACCTGTGAAAAAACCAGGAGATAAGAATTTTTTCCAAAACTTGAATTTTTGAATGTATGTAGTTCTCTAGTTTTTTGGGTGTCCAATTACCTTAAGCAAAAAATATTTGCTTGAGGAATATTGATCATTGAAATATTTGCGAAATAAATCAAGTTTTATAAAACTGTTTAAGTATTTTAGCAATTATTTATACGAATGAAATATGTACATAAATAGGGACATATTGAGAAAAAATTTTGATCTGTCACAGTTAGTGAAAGCATGCAAAAAGATTGAGTTTTGGTGGTGATCAAATTAAAAATTTAAAAATAAATACATATCCGATTATATGTCACATTTTTGGAACTTTTTTGTCCTCAGTTGACTTTGAATTCGGAGAAATTACGTATTAGGAAATGGGATTAAGGTTTTGACTTCCAAAATAACGGCTAGACATTAAAAGGTTCAGTTTTCCCAGGTTATGTCCTTTTTTGGTGTATCTACATACATATGTAACTGCATAGACGCACTTTGGTTATTTTGGGACATTTTTGTCTTCCATTTTTTACGAAATGGGATTAACCCTTTCCTTAATAAGTTCCAGCAAAATGGCCCACTTTTTAAGATTTGGGTTCCTTGAGTTATGTATGTATGCCTTTTTCTATTCAGTAACCATTGAACCGTGTTATTTACGTGGACGGGTTTATTTGATTTTATTATTCTCACATTGTTGGAAATGTGGTATGGGCATGCAGACATCGACATATTTCTCGGAATTAAAGTTGCTATTCTGGAATTAATAATATACCAGTAAGTAAAAAAATTCATACGGATTTGATAAAACCTTACATATGTAATACCGAGCTATTTACCAATCAAAGCCATGTTTAAATGAATGGTACGTATATTATTTTATGGTATTATTTTAGTAGATGTTTATACAAAAAACGTAAAAAATAATACGCACAATTTACATATGTATGTATGTATGCATATATCTTCCTGCTGCAAAGTTTTGCACATTTATTTCTAATCTTTTTTTCTGTGTAGTAATAGCCGTTGTTCGAATATGTATGTAGTAGCCGTACATCTTTTCATGCTCTTATAAATTGTGACCTTCCGCTAGGGTTGCCGCGGGTAGCGAAAATCCTACCCGTTACCCGACCCGCTACCCGCCGCACAACTACCCGTACCCGCACGGGTACCCGTGCGGGTACCCGTTACCCGCTACCCGTTATGAGAATTAAGTTAAAGCTAGCCAACATTCAGAATAAATTTGATTTAATCAATTATTTGGGCTGTTCAGTAGTTTGAGATAATGCTATGCAAGTTACCAATGCCATAATTTGCTAGATGTCATTAGATGTTTCTGAAAGCAGACTTTTTGGCTTTTGGAACCTTTTTCAAACTACATCAGAATTTCTTAGCGAATTGTGTAAAAAATCAAGCCAAAAATTAGGAATTATCACTTATCTTTCCGTTGAATAGCCGGTTTAACGAAAACTATTGGGGGCAAAGTTCAAAGTCCACCATGGTTTTCGTCCAGTGGAGGAAAAACATGCAGAACATTTAAATACTTAAAACCTACAGTGCAGACTTGATATAGCCCGAGTCAGGCGTAAATCTGTTTTTAAACTAAAATTATTAAAACTTCGAATTCTTCAATTAAGAGCCTTTAGTAACCCATATACCAAAATTTATCCACCATCACTAAATGTAATCGGCTATCACTAAATTTTTGTTAGTGCACACATTTGTTTCCCTTGGTCATCAGTATCGACTGTGACCATAACTTTGAAACGAGTGTATATTTTTTCTTAAAACTTTCAGGATATTATGTTATCAATATTCGATGTAACATATGTAAATTCCAGCCACGCGGGTGACTAGGTTCATATACATTTGTTGGTGCACACATATTTTTCTCCCTGGTCTGGTCATCTTATTGGGTTGCCCAATAAGGTCCTCTAGATGAAAATTTTTCTTATTTTTCTTCGTATTATTCCATTAGGAGCTATTACCAACTTATCTACCAAATTTCAGCTCGATTTGAAGAATTGAAAAATTAGCATGGGTCACCCCATAGGGTCTGTCCAGGTGAAAATGTGTCGAATTTCAATTCATATTCTTCCATTGGTAGTCATTAACAACCTATGTACCAAATTTCAGCTTTATTGGCTAAGTTTTAAAAATCGGTATGGGTCACCCCCTAGGGTCCCTCCAGATGAAAATTTTTACAATTTTACTTTGTATTCCTTCATTAGAAACCATTATCAACCTCTACACCAAATTTCAGCTTTCTACAGCAATTTTGAAATTTTGATGCATAATACCCACCCAGATGACCCCCACCGGTCAACCACTTGACCGATTTCGCCCATCTTCGAACTTGACTCCTCCTTTGACCCTTACTACATTTGTGCAAAATCTCAAGTGGATCGGATTAGTTTTACGGCAGTTATCGCAAACCAGACAGACAGACAGACGGACATGACGGGTACATAAGCCCTGACTCGGGCTAAAAATTGCACTTTGCCGCCAATATTTTTTTTCAAAGTGGACATTCAGCGGCAAGTAAATATTCTTTATCACGCGGTTCCTAATTTTTAGCTTAACATTTTAATATACTCCCTAGACCATCGTGGTGTAGCTTGGTGTGTTTGAAAAAAGGTTAATTTTTAGTTTGATTTAAATGCAATTTTCATTTAAATATTGTCTACAAATAAAATTTTTGCTTTCAATCGAATTCAGGTTTTTCATATTCAAAGCACAAATGAAAATCTCGTGAGTCTCAAATAAATTCACACAAATACAAGTTAAAGTAATACTGATATTTTAGAGGAGGCAAATTATACTTGACTAACAATAATTTCTCCGCATTTTCTGGACGTGAGAAGCATTTGAGGCTGCCGTAGGCCTCTGTGGCTTCCGAAAAGACATGCTCGCCATAAATATTAGTTGCTGGCAAATAACAAATTTTGAAATGGATAAATAATAAATTGACCCATTGTGGCTAAATGGACTAACTTGCTGCTAAGTTTCTTTATGAACTAATTTATGTCGAAAATTAAATAAAAAAAGAACTACCCGTTACCCGTGCGGGTAGTTCTCGCTACCCGCAGATGACGGGTACCCGCAAGAATCGTGCGGGTATGCGGGTAACGGGTACCCGACCCGTTACCCGCGGCAACCCTACCTTCCGCATGCAATATGTATATATGAAGCTTTGCTAAAATAAACACTAGGTCCAAAGCACCGATTTTGTGCGAAAGTAGTAGCGAATTATGTAATGCAAAATATTGAAAACAAACGTTTGAACTTTTGAGATCATGCTTCGAAGCGGGGTACGAACAAAGTTTTAGTGCGATTAGGTTTAAAATGAAAAATGAGTAAATGAGATACACGGAAATAATAATTGAGCATGCATACATTTTATTACTGGAGTTAAATACATAAGTCTAATGGCCAATTAACTTTATCTTCTATATCTGTTTCTAGTTTAGGTTTAATCATATTTAGTATATAAATATAGTTGAAATATGTAACTAAGATAAATTATTATGTAAATTGTGGATCGGTAAGTAATTATTAGATTACGAGAACCTTTTAACGAAACAAGTATAATTTATTTGCCTTTTTTGTTAATAAAAAGAAGGAAAAAGTCTTTTTTAATTGTAAATATTTAGAATAATATGCGCACTTCGGTATCAAGACTTGGGTATAAAATATTAACGCACAATCTTTTTGAAAAATTCTAATGTATTTCGAAATTTAGGTCGTGTATGCGGTAGGGTTAAGTTAAAAGTTTTATGAGCATTTAAATACTTTACTAATTTTTAAATAAGGAATGCAGTTAGTCTATTTTTCTGTAGTACACACGTCAAGAGTTTGTTTTTATAGTGAAAAATTTTGAAATTAAGTAATCAAATTTGTCAATCTTTAAGATTATAATAATCCAATCCTAACTAATTTCGGGATAATAATTTTGATTAAGGCCTCAACGTACTTTAAAAAGACTTTTCGCCTTAGCTAATTCGATATTTACGTAACAACGCGAATTATGTAAACTACTAACAAACTAACTAACTAACAACTAACTAACTTGTAAGTTTTTTCAAATTACTAAATTGGGGGACCATAACTCCGATTAAGGACTCCATGCACTTAATAAATTTAGATATATTGACCTTAACTAATCCGATATTTATGTAAATAACCAAACTTTTTTTTATATATATACTACTAAATGCCTACACTCTAAGAAACCTGGTGATAACTACCAGCACGCGGTGGTCATATGTGACTCTTCCGGAATGGTGACAGCTGCAACCACCGCAAGGTGACAACTGCACCACCGCACGGTGATTGATCATCACTGAGCTGGTGATGGGCATCCACCATCCGGTGGTCTTCTGCCACCTGCCGGTAGAGTCACATATGACCACCGCGCTGGTGGTAAAATTTCTTAGAGTGTACAAAATTCCCATAATTTAGAAAAATTCATTGCGAATTGAACTAATCAAAGCCTCACCCAACTTTTTCTTAAGTTCGCCATCGTTCAAAAGTTTGGACCGAATTTCCCCCACAAGATCATCCTTCGTAGTCCCCCGAACCAAAATCCTGTCTTTAAGGTCTTCCTTAAATTCGGGTAAAGTCTCCCTCTTTATCTCAGAGACTAATTCCTGCTTTATCGAACCTGTTAAACTCCCATCTCGCAAAACCTCATTTCTAATGTGCCTCGGCAATCCGACGTTCAGATCTGGGTCATTTATTAGCTCGGTTTTTATTCCATCTCGTAAATTGGCGCTAATTTCTTCGGTCAAGGTCAAATCGGCACGGAGACGATGAGAAATTTTGGACTGCACTTCAGCCAAAAAGTCATCCTTCTTAACGGCGTCCTTTAAGTTGATGATGAGGTCCTTTTTGATCTCGGATTTTAGAGAGGCGGTCAATTCCGACACAAGTTCCGCTTTGAGGATCGACATGGGTGTCTTCTTGGCCTAATTTTGTAAATAAGTGGACAATGAGGATTCATGTAATTAATTAAAGCCAAGTACGTAATGAGAAGGTTAATGGTTTTCGAATTTTCGAATTTTCTATAATATAGGAAAAGTTGTGAATTTACTATAATTTGTAAATCTTCAAAATTCCCAAAGATTTTACACGCAAAAAATTATATAAACGAATCAAAAATTTAATAACGCAAAAAATTAATAAAAATCAAAAATGTATAAATTTTGCATAAAAATTTTGTATAAAAATTGTTTAACAATTCGTTCATATTGGATTTTTTAAATAATAAAATGTAACAATAAAATAAAAATCTAATAAAACTTTGAAATAAGAAATTTTTCAATCTTACCATTGGCAAAGATTTCTCCAAATTTGTGGATTCCAACCCATTCTTTTTTGGTTTTAGGATTTTCTTAATATAATCTGGAACCCTGGGTAGAATCATCGGTGCGAAATTCATGTCAAATTTTGCAAAGTCGCTCCAGTGACTTAAAGATTCTTCAGAACATGACGATGACGAAGATGATGACGAAAAATCCTTGTCAGATGACGATGACGATAAATCTGACGATGACGAGCATGACAAAAAATCATTTTCTTCTTCAGATGATGAATCTGAAGATGAGGTTGACGATGGTGATGACGAAGTAGCCGCTGCAGGGGTCGATGGCAACCTTAATGTGCAACCAAGTCTAGCGCAGATGATTTTTTTAACGCAGAAATCAACCACCGATTTGGCCTCGAAGAGTTTCGCCATCTCGTAAAGGTCCGTCAGTTCTTGGTTGTCCACGATGTAGTTCATGTCGTAGTCATAAAAAAACTGCAAAAAATTATGACAAATATTTATCAAAATTATTTGATTTTCGTTAGAAAACAATAACGTAGAAATAAACCACAAATTAAAAACTTTAAGACTTACGTAAAATTTACTAAAAAATCTTGAGTAAAAAAGAGAATGACCACACAATTGTTCAAAGTTGATTCAACAGTTGGAAAAATTGTACATAGATACATTTTACAAATTGTAGATTTTCCAAATTTTATCCAAATCCAATCTTTTTAAAATTTGGCAGAACTTTAATTTAGATTGTATGTATGTAATAGGTACATTGGAAATAAAACGTTGACTTGAGTACTCCTAATATTTACGCATGTCTCAAAATGGCTTATCTATTATGTCAGAAGCATACATAATTAACGCATTTATGATTCATCTCGATAATCAGCACACTTCTAATCATTGCTCCGCTCTTGGAATTTATTTTAAAATTTTGTGAACCAAAATTTGAAGTCAGTAAGTTGATTGATAGAATGTCGGTGAGGTTTTTTCAAACACGTTTAGAAACGTAGAAACTCTTAGAACTAAGAGTTCCAATTTTTCTGAAGGCTACATATTTAAACTTTAGGTTACCACCTTCAAAAACCATCAATATTTGGAGGGTACATAAGTTTTATAAGAAATTGGCAACCACCTGCACTATTAAATTAATTTTCAAGAATATTAAACCAAATTTCCAGAGCCCAGAAATGATTAAACATGAACTTATTCTGACGAACTTCGCTAAAAGTAAACGATTCCTAAAATAACCATCAAAAATCGAAATAAACTTGAAAAAACTGCATCGCCTTACCTCCAGAGCTTTCTAATTAATTCGTGAATATACTTAATTATCTAATTAAATAGCATGCTTAGACTAATTATTAATTACTAATTAACGTTAACTATTTAGTACTACCGAAGCTAATTTTAATTAGTAATTAATTAGAAAATCACTAAAAATTAACAATTAAGTAATTGGCAAATGTTCTAATTAATTAGCTAATTAATTGGTCTAATTATTAATCTGAGTTTAATTACTATGTAATTACCAATTAATTAGATGAAATATTTTCCTCCTAATTATCAATTATTAATTAATTAGAAATGTGGCTAATTAAAAAGCCCTGCTTACCCCCAGCATTCTTCGAAAGTGGAGTTCATTCAAATTGTCAAAGGCATCATTGTACTCGTAAAACCTTCCAATCTCCGCGTCGATAAAATGGTCCAAAATGGGTGATTTTCCGTATACGATTTCCTTGTGACAGGAGACCACAACGTAGGAGTAGCCGGATGGCTTCTTATTCCGCAAAACGAAGTGGCGGTTATACATTTCGCCCGAATTTACAAATGCCAACTTGGCATCGTCAGGATGAAATTTATCTGCCATGGGTCGGTTATTCGGCTGAAGGAGAATAATTTTATTAAAAGTTAATAAATCATTTAAATAAATTGTTGGGTGACTAAAAACCGCGAAAAATTACTCGGCGCGAGCTATAGGAAAGTCCATAGATATATTTCGTCATAAAAAAATATTGAGTGGGTGATTTTGCGTCGCCCACCTTAGGGGTATATGTATGTATATTACGTCATCAATAATTCCCAATTTTATCCCCCCCCCACCCACCCAACGTAAACATTAAGGGATAGGGAATTTTAACATGAGAAGGATAGTAAGACCAAAACCACCCACCCACTAAAATGATGACGTAATATATGGAAGTTCCCTACTCGTGTTAAGCTTAAAATTATAAGGATAAGGAACGGGTGCGTCGGTGGTATACATAAAAATCGACGTTTTTTGACAACGTAATATATGGGCGTTCCTAATGTTATACATGATAAATAAGTGGATATTCGAATTTCAACAATTTTGCGTCTCCTCAAATGTTTTGATTACTAATTCAAATTTTCAAGTGTTTTTTAACTTACCCAGTTTTGAGATTTGTAACCGATTAAGTGCTGCAAACTTATTAGTACTTTCCCAGGTATGTCTAGCATATTTATATGTAAATGTGTTTGTACTACACGTTAGTCAATTCTGCAGGGTTGTCGCGACGTTGGAAATTTTCGTGTTGACTTGAGAGAAACTCAAAAGGGACTGAAGGACTTGAAGGGTTGCAGTGAAGGGTATGGTAGAAAAAAATGTGTACGTGTGTTTATTTAGCTATTCAACCCTATTTGCTGCACTGTTAAATATCTAGTTAGGTATGTACATGTGTACAGAGGACGGCTGCGTATGTACTCCCCATCCACGCAGGATTGAACTTTTACAGAAATTGATAAATCTCAGAAACTACGTTAATGTCAGTCTCACAATGAGATGGTTTGAAGTGTAACGCTCTGATTTGGTTGAAATTTTGAAATTATGTGGTCCATGTCAATACAACCAACGTTTCTTCACGATGGTGTGAATTTGTCAAAATATTTGAGGTGAAAGTTGAGAAAGGTGCAACTTTTAGCACGGGAAGTAGAATTTGCTTCCTCCGCCTGGTAAAAATCGCCCGTTTTTCAACTTTGACCTAAAATATTTTGACAAATTCTGACCATCGTACGAACTGCCTGAAGAAACTTGGTTGTATTGACATGGACCACACAATTTCAAAATTTCAACCAAATCAGAGGGTTACACGTCACACCATCGCATTGTAAATTTGAGAATTTTGCTTATACTGAGGGGGGAATTTGAGACTGACAGTAGTGGCGTAGTTTCTCAGAATTCCCAATTTCTGTAAAAGTTCAATCCTGCGTGGATGGACAGTATGAATCTGGAGATTTTACGGATAAATTTATCTACAAAAAAAATCGTCTCATACCGCTGAGATATTTACAAAATGTATCTATGTCTGTATGATTTATGAAAATGTGAAAATATTTATAAGTATGTTTGAAAACTTAGAAATATGTAACAATATATAAAAATATTTTCAAATTTTTATAAGAGTTAGGGAATACACTGGTTATATAAAATGTCACAGTTAAAATTAAATACATTTCCGCACTCTGATTTTATCGCATTTACATATATGTAAATACCTTTTAATATGCATGTAGCCATACATATGTTTACATATACCATTTTAAAATTTTGTATTTAGTACACTACGATTTAGGAAAAGTTAATAAGAATATGGTATTCAGTTCCAACACAATGGCGAGACTTTAAAAGGTTCAGTAACCCCAAAGTGATTTTATTTTTGCTCTCTACATACGAAGTTTCATACCCTTCAGTTCTCATTTTAGGGACAGTTTTGTCCTCCAAAGGTTAAGAAAAAGGATTAACCCTTTCCGTAATCAGTTTGAGCACAATAGTCCGCTTTTAAAGGTTAGTTTTCCTGAAATTATGACCTTTTTCTTCCACGCAGTAACCAGTGAACCCAATTACATTTGCATTTCCAAGCCTTGATGTGTCAATGACCCAATTTGCTCAAATATTTGCTACCTGCAAGGATAAGTTTATTTGATTTCATTCTGTCTACAGTGCTAGAAATCGAACCCGTTGAGCCCAGTCTGGAAGAATATTTCGATACAACAGACGATACAGTGTAATCATGCATGCAATTTTATCAGAACTGATGTATGAGTATACATACTTAGTTATGAACTGGGGAATGGAGTACAGTCAATCCAAGAAGTATTGGCAACCCCCACGGAAGCTAGAAACAATTGGCGATAACTTTTCCATGCATTATCAAATTTGCATAAAACTTTGTCCGCATTTGGTAAATCTAATGTAGTGTTCGATTATAATCATGCTTTCGATTAAAATTAAATAACCAGCACGTTATCCTGATTTTGATACGAACGAGTCAGGTACGAACCTCTAAAAAGTATTGGCAACCTGTGTCATAATTATTTGTACGAAATTTTTATAACGACAAACCTCTGCGTCTTGTCAAGGTAAGTTAATCAGATCAAAGAATTTTACTTTATCTGCTTCGTAAGTCCAGATTGGTATTGCCTAGAGCCAAAATGTCGACACCAAACGGGCTATTTTTGGCGGAGCGAGGAATAATCTTGCCTCCTTCAAAATCAAGCTTTTATATCGATAACTCAGACAGAAAACATGCTCCGTGATATTTACTATTGGAAACGTATCCAAAGAACATGAAGCAATTATTTCAGTTCGTGGTTTCCTATGATCCGGCTAAAAATGCCTCCTAATCCTAAAATCAATGGATTAATCAAGCAAATTATCACTCGAGATCGGGAGATTTCAGCTCCCATAACCATGTTGAATTTGAGTACGGAATGTGGGGTCAACATAGCATGCAATTTGGTGATCAATCAAAAATCATGCCATGGGGTTTCAGGGTCCAGTATCCCGACAGGCGGGAAGGTACCCAACGCGAACCAACTCAATAAATTTGAACGGGCTAAATACCATCATTAACAGAATTCCAATGAATGAAAAAGGAGCTGATGGTCTCACATAAGCTCATTTTACCTATTCGGAGCTAATTAAAGGGTTCAAGTCTGCCGGATGCATTAAAAGGCTCGGAAAAACGAATATGTGCATATAGCAGTTAAACACAGAGGAGGAGCGATTATGGTTTGGGGTTAAATGACCAGGTCGCGGCGTACTTATGTGGTCATTATCGGTGAAATGCTGACCAGGGGGGTCTAGGTAATCATTCGAAACGATAATTTGAAAAGATTTGACAAAAACATGACTCAGGAAGGAATTTCATATTCCAAAATTGCAGTGGCCCCAAACATGCATCCAAATTAACGATGCACATTTTTGGAGACCGAAAAATTTCAGCATCTTTCGTTGGCTGCACAGTCTCCCGATGTGATTCTTATTGTCCGGGTTGAGATAAGAGCGACTGCTGGGAAATCACTCGTCGAAAAACGAGCTTGTCAAAAGTTCGAAAGAAGATTGGGAAGCAGTATGAAAAAGCGTTAGAAAGAAACTGGTCGAGTCAATTCCAAGGCGGATTTTTGCTCTTATTGCGTCGAGGGGAGGTGGTGCGCTGTACTAGTCGCAGTTTATCGAAACAAAATTGCAGTGTCTTTGATTATGATTTTTTTAAGTTAAGGGTTGCCAATACTTTTTGTGGGTTAATTTCGCAAATTTTCCAACAAATTATATAAAAACCGTGCCAATCTAATTTTAATCAACAAAGGATTATTATCATCGAATACCACATTAGATTTGTCAAATGTATGCAAAATTTCAGGCTAATTGGATAATGCATTCAAAAGTTATAGCCAATCATATTTAGCTTCCGTGGGGGTTGCCAATACTTGTTGGATTGACTGTACATACCGTAAATACTCTATTCATAGGGGGGGGGGCTAAAATCCAAAACTGAGGGTCACAGACCCAACCATAATTAGAGCCCCGGATAAACTTTGATCCACTCTAGTCTTTAATATTATAAAATCACGTATATTTAATATTGACTCAATTTGAGTTCTCAAATTTAACAAGATATGCCGCATCAGGATAACACTCACTTAAAATGGACATCTTTAAAATGGGTTTATCAGTTTTTTAAAGTTTTTCGTAACGACTAAATGCTTTGTTGGTCAAATAAAATAAAATAAATTAGTAAATTTTTAACCTCTGTTATGTATATATGATTATACATAAATAAGTGGTACACAGTGAGAAGAGACAGAGGAGAGTATTTATTAGTGGAGAGTTAAAGATGGAGTGATGTACAGATTCATAACTAATTACATATACATACCTACGTAGGCATACATATACCTAACACTACCCTCTCACGAAAAAATTTTTCTCCTGAAAAATAGTCTGAAAGAGTGTGTAGGTCTGCAAACTAAAAATTTCAGTAGTCACAATTTGAATTAGAAATTTTGATGGTTTACATATGAAAAATTCATTGAAAAATGAAAAATGAAATGACTCCGGAAAACAAACATTAACAAAGATTTTGCATGAATAACACATGGAACAATTCAATACACATATCGAATGACGCAGTAATTTTGCAGGGCTGGAACTTGAGAAGAAGGTATGGCTCGCAATCGGTGGTGGAATTGTGTCATCTCAGGCGTGGTGGTGGTGGTTGACTCAAATAAAACTTGCAGATTGGGACAAAACGATAAACAAAGAAAAATACATTTTTGTGATCGTGGTATGTGGTCCATCGGGACATCGGAGATACATAAATACGCAGACTTGTGAGGGTTTTATCTGGGTGACCCATAACCGGACAACTCGAAGACGCAGGGTTTTCTGTGGGTGACCCATAACCGTGACGCGTTAAAAAAGGGGAACTATGTACAATGTGGATTTCCATACTTGAACACGCAAATAATATGTAGACGTTGCTCATTACAAACATTAATCTCAAGGCGTTATATTTCATTCTCAGCCTGGGAAAGTGGTGACAACGCAGATCGAGCATAAAAGTTCAGCAGAATTTTGAGACAAGGTGAATCAGATTACATTTTTGCAACAAAATTTGATAAAGAATTGGGACAATTTTCCAGACGAAATGAATAAAAATGACATTTTTGCAAATATTTTGCAGAAATTTTGATAAATTTTGAACGAATTTTGATCAAAATTTTTCAGAAATTAAACGGAATTTTTTTTTTACAATTTACGATTTTTACGATTTTTTAACAATTTTGAAGGACAATTTTGCATATATTTTTTTGACGTGTTTAAAACAAATAACGGAATTTTGAATTTAGCATATTTGCTCGAATTATGAAATGTAAATTTTGGACTGGAGATTTGGAAATTTTAAGAATGGGGGAATATTTTCAGGGTGGTTTAGAACCAATTTACAGACCTGATAGCATCCGGGAGGATAATCCAATTTACAGACCAGATGACGAAAATTCACAAAAAAAGTTTCACAGGAAAATCACACAGTTTACGCAAGGTTTTGAGAAGAGAGATTTGGGAAGTTTCCCTATCGGAAGCAAAATGACAAGCTCTAAGGGGCGGTGGTCAAGCTGCTTAGTCGTCGCAGTCGTAGCAAATTTGGTAGGTGATATGTCTTGCGAAGAATTTTGAAAATTTTAAAATCCATTGTGAGTGGGAGGAGCGAAAGAAAGTACTCGACGGTACACCAATGTTATGTATATATGATTATACATAAATAAGTGGTACACAGTGAGAAGAGACAGAG